TTGGGCTTATCATGCCCAAGTTATAGACAGTGGGCTTGTTTTAATAGCCACTTGTTCCAAATCGCCTGTAACTTGGGCTTATCATGCCCAAGTTAGACAGTGGGCTTGTTTTAAGCCCAAGTCTCACAGCAGCAGCAGCCCCAGATGAAAAGTCATGGAGGAGCAAATGGCCACTTCCATTTCCTTACCAAGATTTTTCTTCATTCTATTTAGTCCTTTTTCGTTTGGCTCATTTTTCTTCATTTCATGTTTCTTTCTATGGTTCTGTCCCTGTGTCATTTTCATCTCTCGCTCACTTTTTCCTTTCTTGCTTTTGCCGCAAGAAAGCACGAAACTGCTTACTACGGTAGCTTCAAAAATCACCGGTGAACTCCACCCTGCGCACAATTAAGTAAATCCTTGAAATAGCCACTGCTATGAATTGTGTGACAAATGTCACACCGCTGTGTGACAAAGCTTGGTACACGAGTTATTGATGTCTGCGTTAATCAAGCACCGCTTTGCAATTCGCAGACGCCCACATCTTGCCCCGAGCCAAACTTCTAGACGCACCTCACAAGCCTAAGGCTCGGCCCTAAACCTTAGATGAGAGGTTGCATAACAGCCTACCACCGCCACTCACTTCTCTCTCTCTCTCTCTCTCTCCCTCTCTCTCTCTCACACACACACACACACACACACACAAATTAACAAACACATTCACAAGCTGCCACACACAAGCTCTCTCTCTCTCTCTCTCTCTCTCTCTCTCTCTCTCTCTCTCTCTCTCACACACACACACACACACACACACACACATACACATACGAACTACCGTGGTTAGGATCTAAGCGGTCAGTTTTCCATTCCCATTCATAACGCTTTCTTGTTTGATCTCCGTTCCATTGTTTTCCCTTACTTTTCTCTATAACGCTTTCTTGTTTGATCTCCGATCCATTGTTTCCCCTTACTTTTCTCTGGCCATTCCTTAATCTCCGTCTCTTACTTTCCAGTGCCGTTCTGATCTGACTGATTGCTCCTCGCGCGCTTTTTCCTTCCGTTCATCGCCGTCCGATCGGCTCTTCCTTGACGTCATTCCATTCGAAGCTCGATCGAAGCTTTCGAAGATATTCATTCATTAATTACATTGTCGTCGACATGCGGTTTCCCCCTCAACTATATGCTCTCTGTTTTATCGTCAGGAACGGTATGCCGCCTCGTCTGTTCTCTTTGCTTTTCTTTTCCCTTCTTTTGCGCTCTTTTTCACAACAGAATTCTAGGTCGCGGCGACACACTCACTATCTGGTCAGTTCGACAGCTGTGATTGCAACTCTGGTCAGTTCGACAGCTGTGATTGCAACTCTGGTCAGTTCGACAGCTGTGATTGCAACTCCTTTGCCTAATTAATTACCACCAATCTTCTTTCTTGGTATACACAATTGTCGCCTCACTGCCGTGTTACAGGTCTCACCGATCGAATCATCGGCTTTCAGTCTTCTTCTAAAAACACACTTCAATCTTCTTTCTTTGGTTCGGACGGAAGATTGAAGTATGTTTCAACAGAAAGCTTGATTCAAGCTGCAAAGCAAAACGCCCCAGCCAGCATTACGTAAGTGGATATTTCCTTCGGGCTCGAAGGAAAGCGATCCGTTGAGCGCTCTCTCTCTCTCTCTCTCTTTGTGTATGTGGGGGGGGGGGGGGGGGGTCCACGGAGTAGAGAATCGAACACTGGGAAGGGACAGCAGACATCGGGCATCGAGATAGGCGAACCAAAGTGGAAGGGATGGAGAGGGGGAGGGGGGAAGGGAAGGAAAGAGGAGGGGGGAAGGGGGAGGAAGGAGGAAGGGAGGGAAAGGGAAAGGGGGACGTGACGAGGGATGGGAACGGGGGAGCGCAGGGGGGAGGGGGAGAAGAAGGGATTGGAAGCGGAAGGATGGGGATGGGAAGGGATGGGGAAGAAACGACGACGGAGTGGAGAAGGAATGGAGGAGAGGGAGAGAGGAAGCGGAAGTAGAAGGGGGGAGGGATGGGAAGGGAAGAAGGAGGGGAGGGGAGAAGGAGGGAAAGGGAGGAGGGAAGGGGAGGGGAAGGGGAGGGGAGGGGAGCGGAGGAAGGACGACGGGGAAGGAAGGAAGAAGGAGAACGGAGAGAGAGGAGGAGTTAGGCGAGGAACACAAACGGAGCAAAAGAAATCCAGAATGCAGAGAGTGAGAAAAGAGAGGGAAGAAGAGTCGAAAAGAGACGACGAAGAAAACGAGAGAGGGAAAAGAGGAAGAACGAACCAACCCGTGAGAAGTAGGAGAAAGCAACGGCCAAGATTGATTGAACTGCCTGCGCGTCTGTCGATTCACCCCGATAGTGGACTGGCGGGCCTCGCCGCGCTACTGAGCTGATATGGAGAATGTACCTTCCGCTAGACCGTGGAAACATACACCCGTAATAGCTTTTGTCTTCTTCAGATTCGCCGAGTGGTGCGGCGAGATCCCAGCTGCACTGCACTGCAAGTCGCAACAGACTCGTGTGAAGAACCGCAAAGAAAATGCCGAGAACCGAACAACTGACTTGGGTGAAGAACAGAACGGAACAGAAACGGAACAGAAACGGAACAGAACAGATCAGAACAGAACGGATACTGTTTTACTGTCGTATACTGGGACGGCGAGGCACTGCGCAAATTGAACCTGTCAAGATCAAGACAGAAAAACAGAAACCGAAGACGGAAGGAAAGAGAAGGGGCGGGAGGGAGGGGGGGGAGAGACCCCAGAAGGGGAAATGGGTAAACGGCCCAACAGAGGGAAGGTGGTGGGGAAAGGAAGGAGAGCGAAGGGGCGAAGACGACAGGAATCACAGGATGACAAGCAGGACAGTGAGAGAACAGAACATGAAAAGTGGAGGTGGAAAAGAACGGTGCAGAAGAGGGAGAAAGAGCGGGAGAAGAAGATGGCAGAGGGCAGAGAGGTGAGAGAGAAAAAACAGAGAGGGGTAAGGGAGAAAAGGAAGACAAAGGAAAAGTGGGAGGGCAGGGAGGGAACAAGAGATGGGGAGAACGAGAGGGGAGGGGTGAGGAGGGAGAGGATCGGAGGGATGAGTACACGGTGAGAACGTAGGAAGGCAAAGAATGAGGAACGGAAATGAGAATACAGACGGGAGAAAAACAGAAAGGAAAAGAAAAATATACCAGCAAAGAGCCGTTAGCCTGAGCCGAAGAGGGGAAGAGAGAGAGAGAGAGAGGGAGGGAGAGAGACGAAAGGATGATAAAAAAAACGTGCAAGACGAAAAATGATCTTGCAATTGGTGGTCCCCAAGATACCGTGATTAGGGGACTCTGCAGACTGTAGAGGATTTAGCCTACTGATTAGTGAACCAGTCGGTGACACTCCGACGAAAGAGTTTGTCACACAGCCCGCCCTCGTTTCTTGTCCTTTTCTGTTCACGGGCAGCTCTCCCTGACACAGACATACGGTATGTCATCATAGAGAACTATTCGGTGACCAATAGGCAAAAAGTGGGAAAAAGGACAAGAAACGAGGGGCTGTGATAGACTGTTGCGTCGCAGTTTCACTGACTCGTCAGAGCAGGCTGAACCCTCTACATCTCCACAGAGTCACGTAACCCATGATACTCTCAAGTGATAATCAACCTTAACCCTGCCTGGCTGCAGTTAAGCATCAACGACTGCCCGAAAACTGATACCCCTCTGAGGTGGTGGG